AAGATATGGGCATCAATATAGATGGAGAAAGATTAAACCACCTAAGATTTGCAGATGATGTTGTATTAATCGCAGATAATTTACAAGATACAGTTTCTATGATGCATTCGCTTAAAAGTCTGTCTGAAAGAGCAGGATTAAAGATAAACTTTAAGAAAACTAAACTTATAACAAATCTCGTAATGAGTGGAAATATAACTATTGACAATAATAACATACAATAAACAGACACTTACAAATATCTGGGACACGAAATCAAAATAATCAGAGACAATCAAACACATGAAATACAGAGGCGAATAGGCCTAACTTGGGCAGCATTTGGCAAATTAAGCCATATTCTAAAAAGTTCAATTCCCATGTGTCTCAAGCGAAAGGTTTATGACCAATGTGTTTTACCTGTACAAACTTATGGAGCGGAGACTTTAACACTCACGCAAAAATCTGCGAATAAACTCAGAGTTACGCAACGAGCCATGGAACGTGCAATGCTGAACGTGAGCCTTCGAGACCACATAACAAACCAACAAATCAGGCAAAGATCAGGAGTTCAAGACGTCATCGAAATAACCACGTCGCTTAAGTGGAACTGGGCAGGGCACTTAGCCAGAGCACAAGATGGACGGTGGACAAGACGTATTATGGAATGGAGGCCCAGAAACTATAAAAAAAGCCGAGGACGACCACCGACTAGATGGACCGATAATATAAAACGTGTAGCGGGAAACTGGCTACAAGCGGACCATGTAGAGAACACTGGAAAGAACTGAGGGTGGCCTATGTCCAGCAGTGGACGCGATTTTCTAATTTATAATTTAACTGAGCTGTTAGGGGTGCTTCCGCGAGCTGAAAACCCTAATACTAGACCTGAATTACCAACCTGTTACACCCACATGTTACTTTTTTCTTCTTTTTTAAGTGACTGAATGACTAAAAGAGGTATTGCCATGCCTTGTTCGTACTATGCTAGTATTTTAGTCAAGTAGCGAGTAATTTAGTAATTAAACGTGTCTGAACAACAAATTAGTCGAGTAGATTAGTAAGTCATTTAGTCGGGTCGATTCATTTGATTCTATTTTTCGGGCGAGTAGCACCTCTCGGTATCTCGGACTCGGTATCTCCCAAAAATTTTCTCATTCATCTGGACGTCAAGAGTAGCATAGCTTTCTGTATGATCTTATATAAATGTTCATTCAGATACAGTTTTTTATGTTTTCTAGGAGGTTCTTCGGAATGACTTCAGTGGTAGAGAGAATAATAGATATCGTCTGGGTACGTTCCATTCTCCATTGTCTCCTTATTTGTATTTCGAGATCTTTGTACTTGGCAATCTTTTCGTTGTACTTAACACGCAGATTATTGTTGTTAGGTATTGCCACATCGATTAGTGTTGTTTGTCTCGTTAGTATATTAACTAGCACGAGATCTGGTCTAGTATGTGTTTACGGTTTGGTCTGTGAGCACAGTGCGATCCCTGTATAGCTTGTAGTTGTCATTTTCAAGTACACTCCCAGGAACGTATTGATAATATTTAAGATGGTTTGTTTGTAGAAGTCCCAGTTTAAAAGATATCTCTTGATGAAAGATCTTCCCTACCGAGTCATGCCGTTCTTTATATTCAGTTGCAGCAAATGCCTGGCAGCCCTTGGTAAGATGTTGGATGGTTTCTTGGGCTTGACATCCATATCGACATTTGTCGTTTTAAAACCTGAGGGTCTTTAATGATATCTTTCAGGTAATTTTTGGTTGGTTGGTTTAACCTGATTCTGAATGGCGAGTAATGAACCTTCTGTTTTAGGACATCAAAACATCTTTTCTGATGTCAATTAATATTTCGACGCTACATTGTCGACATAGTCTTGACTGATTTTATTGGAATGTCGCTTGTGCAGAGGTTTACCCATTCAGATGTGCATTTTTTTATTTAACTGGCAAGATGGTTTATGCGCATATCTTGTTCCCTTAGTTTGATCGGTGTTGTGTCATCTACTGCACAAATCGCGCGATGTAAAGTAGATGTGTCCACCTGTACCTGAAATATGTTTTTAAGTTAGTAATCTATATTTCTAATTGCTCACTTATATCCATAAGTTCTCGTCCTCCTAAATATCACAATAATGTCGTTTTTTCTACTGCACTTCAAGGATGGTGTTTTTTGTGCCTTCGTGAGGTGTGTTCGTACTTTTCGATGAAGAGTTTCTATATCTGTTTTAGTCCACTTAATAATGCAAAATAAGTAGCTAAGCTAAGCAAAGCGCAGAAAATGCGTAGATGTTTATTGCCTTAGCACAATTTTTACTATTAAGATGTAAACAGATCAGTTGTTTTACCCTTTGTATGAACTTAGAAGTGAATTCGATTTTCGTTTGTTTAGGGTCAATTTTCCGCGCTTACTTTACTCCTAGATATTTATACATGCCATTTTCGCCCATAACTTCGATGTTTTGGCCATTTTGCATATCTAATCTTCCGGGTGAAGCTTTTCCTTGACTATATTTAGTACACCACAGTTGTCTAGCCCAAAGTGCATACTTTGCTACTACAGTATTGTTATTTTTAATGCTAAAAACCTGATGAGTCAGTAAAGTTTAATAACTGTGATAACAGGTTTATCGCTAGGCAGAACTACTACAATGAACTCAGCGAATTTCTTTGGGATAGACCGCTTTTTAGTCCGTTATTATACGTCTTAAAAAGGTTACAATAATATCATCGACTTTATATATTCTTAATATATCTACCAGCCATTAATGCGGCACCGAGTCAAAGGCTTTTTTGTAGTCAACAAAGGCAGTAAAGAGGTTCCTTTTTTGGTGTATACCTGGTTATAAATGACAGAGTCGATTATAAGTTGTTCTTTTCAACCCATGGAACCCTTAGCCCAACTTTACTGTTGAGGTTCTATGATATTGTTTAAAGAGCGCGTGTTGATAGATACGCTGGGCTACACAGGATGTGATTAATTTATACAGAGTTGGAAGACTCTGAAAGTAATTGGGCGGTACTTGGCTGGATCTTGGGGTTTATTTTGATCCTTCGGTATTAAATAAGTTGTTCCCTGAGTTAGTAATGAAGGTATTTCCTGCGGATTAGAAACAACATGAATAGTTAGTGTTCATAAAGACTCATGAGTACTCCAAAACTTCTTAAGCCAGAAGTTTTAAACTCTGTCTGGTCCAGGAGATTACCAGTTATGAAGCTCTTTGGTGATATTAGAGACTAATGTGGTAAAGGGTTTAAAGACAGTAGTATGCTAGTGTTGATAGCTGTGCATCGTATCTTCTATCCATTCAGCATTGGTGTTAAGGGCAACTAGTGTGGAAAGTTGATTTCCCCAAAACTCCTGAATTTTTTCTTGGCTTGGGTATGATTTATTGGCACTTTCGACAGTGGAATTAAGTTTTCTATAGAACGATACAATTCTGATAGAATTATTATTATTATTAATATTGTTCAAAATTAGTAAAGGCCTAAAACACGGCTGTTGTCTCACGTCAACTCTATTTAAAATATATGTCGAACAACATTTAAAACTTTAGAATCCTAAAAGCTCTCATTTATTACCGATTAATACCAATACAAACTACAGCGCAAACTACAATATTTGGGACATGTTATGAGGGGAGATAAATACCAGTTGCTGCAATTGATTATACAGGGAAAGATAATGGGAAAGAGATCTATAGGAAGAAGAAGGCATTCATGGTTGAAAAAACTTGAGAGAATGGTACAATTGCACCAATTACCAACTGTTTAGATCTGCAGCATCAAAAATACGCATAGCTTTGATGATAGCCAAACTTTGGAACGAAGACGGCACTTGAAGAAGAAGAATACCAATACGCGCCATTAATGTGCTTTGTAAATGGCGCAAGACTATGGAGATATGAAGTATATGACAAGGAAACTAATGAGCAGTACAGAAAAGGGGGACTGGAAATTAAAAGTTCAAATTGTATAAAAGACAAAGAGAATCTATGTATATTGGTTGAAGCCAGCATTAACTTGTCTTGAAATATAGAGAAAACAATGAACTACTGTGATACGTATACGTACTTGGGATCTTGGAAATGACCATCACAAAAGAAACATTCAATATAGAAGAAAAGAGACAATCAGGCAAGGAAAGCAGTTACCATGCTTAACCCTATTCTTTGGGACCAATCGATATCAAAAAGCAACAAACCCTAAATATATAACACAATCTTCAAAATAATAATAACTTATAGAAATTGAAGGTTGGCAGAGTAGAAAAATACAGATTAGTTAGAGTCACCAACAAAAAAAATAAAAGAAATCGTAAAGTATAATAAATAGCAGATGATATCTTAACTTAAATGTTACGGACATGATCAGAGAGTGACCGAAGATCGACACTTCCAAACAGATCCTCATGTAGACTCATGGAAGAAGAAAAAGAGGAAGACCTCATTTAGGCTAGAGAGAAGGCATAAAAAACTTTGGACGAGCTTTTACTAATAATTCTTTAACGCACAGAATCTTGATATAACTTTTATATATTTCACATACAAATTTAATATTAAAATTAAACAATTTTACTTTAAGCTAATATTATTGATATTCTGCTTAGATATCTCATTAGTATTATTGATCAAATGGTTAATTAGCGAACCTAGATCTCTTATACAAGTTTTAACCAATACATCCTTTTACACAAAATTGACTATTTTTTTGTTTTTAGACATAAAATTGCAGAAATTAATTTTTGTTACATATTACTGTGTTTGTGTCCATGTAAATGATGGACTCTTCTTACCTATTTAATATTAAATTCTTAATTAATCCATATTTCTGCAAAATTATGTTACATACCGAAATAAAAATATCAATGTTCGTTTAGTACCTATCAATTAATATTATATGTTTTTTGTTGCACATCTATGTTATATAAATACACGAACTTATTGTTATACCGTTCGACATATTTGTTATTATAATATTGCTACGAATTGATTCTAACATAATATTCTGTTTTGTAGATGTGCACCATGACATGTCCGAGTTACCACCGCAAGAATTTTACAGCGGAAATGGAAACTACGCTAGTCGCACAGGAATTTCTTTTCTTCTAGTGACACTAGCGACACTGGCGGCAATGTTTTTAGCTAGTGTTTCATAGAATAGACGAAGTGATCTTTTCGTTTTATAAACGAAGCCACTTTGACTGAGACTTTTACCAATATTGTGATTTGATTTAAGTTTTTATTAGTTAGAAAGTGACATTTACGTTTAGATCATCAAATTCATTGACGCCAAATATTACAATAATTTAGTCAAAACATGCAAAAACTTTTTGTATAAACTCATAAGTTAAACTGTAAAGTACTACAATGTTAAACCGTCAAGTGGTACAAGTTAAGTTATAAAATTTATTAAAATGTTTCTCAATTCTCAATATTTAAATGGGTTAACGCTGTAAATTATGTTGCATAATTATAAAATGTCTTGCCTGTATTTTTAGTTGCATACTTTCAGTTAGCTAGAAAATAATCTCATATTATTATACTCTTAAAAATACAGGTAGCGCTTTTAATTCGAAAGTTGGGCTTTACAAAAATATTCTCAATCAAGATTCATAAGCAATATTTTAATTAGGAGTGTTTATTTTGCAAAACTTGATCACATTATTTTTCTTATTTTATAATTAGAATGTATATCATAAACATATGTAAATCATCTCATCTTCATTTACCATTGCGGTCTATATACCGTTTACAAAATTAATTTTGTGTCCATTTCAGTAATCAGTGTGTAATTATTTATTGTAATATATTTAGAGAAGAATTTTGTACTTATACATTTCCTTAAATATTTCGAAACATAATTTGTGTTCTTATGTTCTATCAAACCATGTTAAGTAATATAAAACTTTTATATCACAAGAACAAATTTATACGATGAAGTATGTATTGTTATTCTCAAATTAGCAATAAACCAATAAATTATATTTTCTAATTACCATTGTTTTGTCTTAAATTTTATTATATAAGCCTGTAAAGATAATGACATCAGTTCTGTAAGATATGAAAGGTAAGTGGAACCCATTAAGTTAAAGATCCAAATGAATAGATGTCTTTTTTGGTCAGACTGGAAAGAAAACGGATTATTCATCTGACAGTTATCAAAGCATGGATTAGAAGTAAAATAAAATGACCCTCGGATGTTTAAATATTTATCTCTGGGCAACCTCGACAAAAAAATTTAAAATTAAATTTTTTATTGGCACTCCTGTACTTTTATCATATTTACTTTAACACCTTTCGTATGAAATGTCAACTTAATAAATCATTTTAACTGTTTAACGGATAAGCCTTTCTCAGCAGAATAAGTAGCTATACAAACTTTAAAAACCTATTATACAATGATAATTGGAGATTTTAACGCCAAATTAAGATTCAAACAAGATGAGGCAAAATCTGTAATGGGAATCTTTGGATTAGGAGAGAGAAATGAGAAAAGTAACAAACTTCTTTACTTCTTACATCCGGAGAATATGTTTGTTATCAACTCATTGTTTAGAAAGAAACCTCAAAGTGAGTGTATATAGAAGAGTCCGAACCAAAGAACAAAAAATGAGTTCAGGATGTAACAGTTTTGAATATATTTTCAACAAAGAGTGACCATAGATTACTTGAGCAAAAACCACTTTTAAAATTGAAGTAAAAGAACAAAAATGATCCTCAAAAAGAAGAGTGACAGATGAATGTTCCTTGAAGATGTAACACTTTATTAACCCATTAACGCTTAGTGGCTACATTTATAGCCACTAAAAATGCTCTAAATGCACATATTTTCTCATAATCATAACGTTGATTCAATACGGAATGGAGCTGGGTACGCAAATGAGGCTTTAATACTGAAAATATGTCTTTATTTTTTGATCATACGACAACAGTGGAAATACCATTATGAGGTTTTACTGACAGAGGATAGATGTAAATTCCAAGAGATTGAAAATAAAGAAATAACCGAACATATACAAATAATTGAGATAACAACCGGAGAGTTAAGCGATGTCCTCAAAAGATCGAAAAACGGTAAAGCAGCAAGACCTGGAGACATTCCAATTGGGTTGGTAAAGAATGGACCAAAAATATTACATGAGATGTTGGTTTAACTATTTAAAAAATGCTTAAAAGGACAAAATATCCCTGATGATTCATTGAATATTGATCTGATAATACATCAGATCAATATTCAAGAAAGGAGATAAACGCAAATACTGTAATTATAGGGAAATAACTTAACTGTTAAAAAAATAGCCATTTGTTCCATTGCCAACCTCCGTAGGGAGACAACACTCTAAATAAAAGAACTATTATCAGCTCAGTGGGGAGGTTTTACGGTAATAATAAAAAAAAGAATAGAATTAGAATACGAAGACATACAAGAAAAAAATGGATTTCGTGCACTGATGGTATATTCGTTCTGCAGCAGATAATCGAAAAACGGACGGCAAGAAATCTATCTACCCACCTATTGTTTTTAGATTTAGAGAAGGCATACGATACGGTACAGACAGAGTATCTTCCAAATTATCAGTTATAATCACTGTGTCGTCCGCATAGCGTAAGTTGCTAATTTGTATGCCGTTCACCTTAATGCCTAATAACTGATAATTTGGAAGATCAGCAGTTATTACTTGATAGGGTGAATAGTATAGGTAAAAAATATGGCCTCAAAATCAACATTTTGAAAACGAAATATATGGTCATTAGCAGAAACCCTTCAGAAAACCCGATAATATGCATAGGTGACAATCGTATAAATCGCGTGAAAACTTTTAAATACCTTGGCACCACAATCAATGACCAATCGGATCCCCAACACGAGATAAAAACCCGAATACAAATGGCAAGACAAGCTTTTGTGAACACCTAAACTTCGAAATACGCTACAGAATGGTCAAGTGCTACATATGGTCCATCTTGCTTTATGGCATGGAAACGTGGACTTTGAAAAAAACTTCAACAAACTTGAAGCATTTGAAATGTGGTCATTGAGAAGAATGATGCGCATACCTTGGGTGGATAGAGTTCGAAATGATGACGTCCTTAATAGAGCCGGCGTGGAAAGAGAACTCTTTGAATTATTTAAAAAACGCAAGATTGGTTACCTTGGGCACATATTGAGAGGAGCAAAATATGAAATACCACAGTTAATCCTACAAGGGAAGATCGAAGGTAGGAGAGGAGCCGGCCGCAAACAATTATCCTGGTTAAGGAATATTAAAGATTGGACAGGAATACACAATACAGGTGAGCTGTGTCACGCCGCCAAGAACAGAATTCTAGTAATGAGATAGTCGCCTACGCACTTTGGTGTATGGCATGTTAAGAAGAGAGTATCTTAAAATAGGAGATGATGAAGACGATCCAGAGTTAAAAATTCTTCTTTTTCTTAAGGTTCCATCTTCTAACGAAGGTTGGATATCAACATGGCAATTCTTATTTTACTTACAGCAGCTCTAAATAGTTGGCTAGAGCTCAGACTAAACCATTCCCTTAGATTTCGTAGCCAGGAGGTTCGTCTTCTTCCTACATCTCTTTTACCTTTTATTTTGCCCTCTATAATCAAACGTAGTAGCCCATAACGAGGACCTCTTAATATATGACCGAAATATTCAAGTTTCCGCCTCTTAATTGTCTGTACAATTTCTTCCCTCTTATTAACCCTATCAAGGACTTCAATATTGGTAATTTTGTCTACCCATGCTATTCGTAGCATCCTTCGATAACACCAACGCTCAAAAGCTTCCAATTTCTTAATCTCCAGTTGTTTCAATGTCCATGCCTCAGATCCGTAGAGCAAAGTTGTAAAAATGTAGCAGCGCAATAACCTTATCCTTAGATCCATTCTTAGGTCTCTACTACACAATAGATGTTTCATTTTTACAAATTTTGCGCTTGCTTTTTCTATACGGCTTTTAATCTCTTGCGTTTGTTCTGCGTTTTGACTAACCAATGTTCCTAGATATTTGTATTTATCTACCCTTTCTATCTGGATATTATTAATATGGAGTGTCTCGTTGTCTTTTGGATGTTTTGTAATGACCATGAATTTTGTTTTCTTTAAGTTCATTTTAATACCATATATGGTACACTTTTCATTCAGCCGTTCCAGTATGTTTGTTAGACTTTGCAGAGTTGAAGTGAATATGACAGTATCATCGGCATATCTTATATTATTAATAATTTCACCATTTATTATCATTCCATCGTTACACTCTCCTAAAGCTTCTTGGAAAATGGCTTCGCTATATATATTAAACAGCAGTGGTGACAATACACAGCCCTGTCTCACACCCCGAAGAATTTCTATTTCTTCCGACATTTGATTTTCAATTCTTATTTTGACTTTCTGGTTCCAGTAGAGGTTCGAGATTACTCTGATGTCGCGGCTATCGATGTTTTTCATTTTTAAAATATTAATTAGTTTATTGTGCTGTACCTTGTCAAATGCTTTTTCAAAATCAATAAAACATGTATACATGTCTTGGTTCATATCCAGATTTCTTTGCATGAGCACATTTATACCGAACAATGCTTCCCTGGTTCCCGTGCCGTTTCTAAAGCCTAACTGACTATCACTAATTTCATCATCCAGCTTTCTGTAAATTCTGTTGTGGACTATTCGTAGAAATATTTTCAAAACATGGCTCATTAATGCAATTGTACGGTGTTCTGAGCATTCTTTTGCATTTTGCTTTTTGGGAATAATTACGAATGTGGATACTAACCACTCCTTTGGTAAAATACCTGTTTGATAAATATGATCATAAAGTTCTACTAGAATGTATATCATTTCATCATCGATCAGTTTAAGAAACTCAATCGGGATTTCATCCGGACCTGTGGCCTTTTTCCCTTTTGTCTGTTTTAATGCGTATTGAACTTCCTGTTTTTAAAATTTTTGGTCCCGATTCACCAGAGTCCTCATCTATGATTTGTTGTCTGTCATCCCCGAATAGTTTTTTTATGTATTCTGTCCATCTGTTTAGTTGTTGTTTTCTATCTGTGAGAATGTTACCATTCGAGTCTTTTATAACATGTATATTATTTTGTTTTCCCGACGTCATTTCCTTCACTTTCCGATGAATATTGAAACTATCATATTTCTTTTCATATTCTTCTATTTCGTGACACTGTTCAGTTAGCCATCTTTCTTTTGCTGTTATTATGTCTTTTCTAATCCTGCTGTTTAAGGATTTGTATTTGCTAGTGTTTATGTTTTTATATTTTCTTCTTTCATTCATGAGAGTTAGTATTTCGTCTGTTATCCACATATGTCTTTTCTTTGGTATTGGTCCACGTATTTCTTCTCCCGCTTCTTTTAAAGCTTGTTGAACCTCTCTCCAATTTTCATTTACGTCTTTAGAGTTGGTGTTTTTTGACTTGATGGGTTTAAGATTATCATTGATTTTCTGTCTAACTCTTTGTTCTATCTGAGTAAAGAGTTAAAAATTAGAAATACAAAAACATACGAAGAATATAAATAGCTCGGATATTGTGAAGGTGAATGGTGAGAGTTGGTATGCAAGTAACGATTGGTATGTGTGGGTTTTCGATACACAGAGTAATGGAAACCTTGGGTTTGGTTTTTCTTGATGAAAACATCGAGAAACGGTAGGGATAAATCAGTTTCCATCTCCATCGTAAACTGGATACTAGGATGTATACCATTCAGATGAGTTTGAAAAGATACTAAAGCATCCCTGCTATGGGGCCAAATGACGAATGTATCGTCAACATATCGTAGCCAATATGTGGGCTTGAGCATTGATGTGGATAGGGCTCGGGTCTCGAAGTCTTCCATAAAGATATTGGCAATCACTGGAGATAGAG